TCTCATCGATGTTTCTAACTCTCTATCTCTCTCCCTTCCTCTCTGTAAAAAATCAAAAAAATATATTTAAAAAAAAAAAAGATACAAATGGCAAATTACAGAACAATGTGTATGGTGCAATCACAATATTGTAAAAAGCAAAACAATATGTTAGTGTGTTTATACATTTGTGTAAACTCATTAAAAATAACTGTAAGTTACACTCCAAAAACTAAAATATTAATGATGTAATTTTTTTTTAAAATATATTTTATTGATTTTTTACAGAGAGGAAGGGAGAGAGATAGAGAGATAGAAACATCGATGAGAGAGAAACATAGATCAGCTGCCTCCTGAACACCCCCTATTGGGGATGTGACCGCAACCCAGGTACATGCCCTTGACCGGAATCGAACCTGGGACCCTTCAGTCCACAGGCCGACGCTCTATCCACTGAGCCAAACCGGTTTCGGCAATGATGTAATTTTTTATGGGGAAAAAAAAGATTTGTTTTTTACTATGAGTTTTATTCTATTTGAATGTTTTATATCCTCACATATTACTTACACTATTAAAAACAAAGACAATTTATTCTCTCAAAGCGAATTCATCATTTTAAACTGACCATCCATGCAGGTTAGGAGCTGGGCTACAATTCTTCGTTCCATATCTTTTGAAGCAACTTCTCTTTTGGGGGTAATGGCATCAATTTCATCAATAAAAAGGATACAGGGAGCATTTGACTAGAAACAAGAATATCACAAAAGACAATCATAAATATATTTCCTGTACTGCAGCATCATTAACTACACAGTTTTAAAAATTTTCACGTTCAAGTCTCATTCACCAAAACAGTAACCCTAAAGAAGGCAGTCACAGTGCATGACTTATCTGACTTAAGAGAAGCAAGATGTTGCCGAAACCGGTTTGGCTCAGTGGATAGAGCATCGGCCTGCGGACTTAAAGGTCCCAGGTTTGATTCCGGTCAAGGGCATGTACCTGGGTTGCGGGCACATCCCCAGTAGGAGATGTGCAGGAGGCAGCTGATCGATGTCTCTCTCTCATCGATGTTTCTAACTCTCTATCTCTCTCCCTTCCTCTCTGTAAAAAATCAATAAAATATATTTTAAAAAAAAAAGATACAAATAGCAAATTACAGAACAATGTGTATGGTGCAATCACAATATTGTAAAAAGCAAAACAATATGTTAGTGTGTTTATACATTTGTGTAAACTCATTAAAAATAACTGTAAGTTACACTCCAAAAACTAAAATATTAATGATGTAATTTTTTATGGGGAAAAAAAAGATTTGTTTTTTACTATGAGTTTTATTCTATTTGAATGTTTTATATCCTCACATATTACTTACACTATTAAAAACAAAGACAATTTATTCTCTCAAAGCGAATTCATCATTTTAAACTGACCATCCATGCAGGTTAGGAGCTGGGCTACAATTCTTCGTTCCATATCTTTTGAAGCAACTTCTCTTTTGGGGGTAATGGCATCAATTTCATCAATAAAAAGAATACAGGGAGCATTTGACTAGAAATAAGAATATCACAAAAGACAATCATAAATATATTTCCTATACTGCAGCATAGTTAACTACACATTTTTAAAAATCTTCACATTCAAGTATCATTCACCAAAACAGTAACCCTGAAGAAGGCAGTCACAGTGCACGACTTATCTGACTTAAGAGAAGCAAGATGCTTAAAAGAGACTCCATATAAGAGAACACATTTAAAGTCTTCTCATCAATCCATGTTTTGTGATGATAAATCAACCACAATTCTTTTGCAAATTAGGCATGTTTGCTATGCTATAATATATAAATTACAAGTTTATAAGCATTAAATAAAAAAACCTAAACTTATAAATGTTATATGTGTTCCTGCCGATGTAAAAATATCTAAGCCTATCCCTAGAATCTGCTATAAGTGGCATTTAAGAAGACTAAAAGCTTTATTTTTCATTTGTTTTTATGTGGTAAAACATCCATAAAATTCCTATCGTAACCATTTTAAGGGCACAGTTTAACGGCACTGAATATGTTCATGCCCTGTGCAGCCATCCAAACTTCTCCAGAACTTAGCATCATCCCTCACGGAAACTGTGAACGGCTGACTTTGAAGATGACACTGAATCAAGAAGGGTGGCCAAGCTCCCAGGCATCAGTGTGGAGAACGAGCATTTAAAAAAATATAAACTAGATAAGAGTTAAGGTAGAATAAGTTAGGATGTAATATAAGCAACCGACTACCTGGAGTAGTCAAACTGGTAGAGACCGAAGTAGAATGGCGGTTGTCAGGTGCTGGGAGGAGGGGGAAATGGGGAGTTAGAGGGTTTAATGGGTAGAGCTTCAGTTTGGAAAGATGAAAACTTCTGAAGATGGAGGAGGGTGATGATTACAGAGCAATATGAGTGTACTTCATGCCACAGAAGTGTACACTCCAAAATGTTTACAATGGTAGGGTGAACATACCTACCCCAATAAAAACAGAGACAAATAGATAGGGATCAGTTAAAATAAAAACTTTAGATAAAAATATCTATATATATAAGCTAAAGCACAGCTCATTCTGAGTTACTCAGTGGGTGGGAGTGACACTGATTATGTTGAGTCAGACTCTGAGCCCGGCTAAGACTCAAAACCACACAATTTAAAAGGAAAGAGATTTGGCCCCTCACTAGCTGGTTCTCCTCCCAGCCCCCGATGACAGTGTTCGCAGAGAAGCACTTAGACTACTGGACACGTGAGCCAGTTGCATGAGAAGTTCCAGAGACCACAGGTCTCAGACACCACATGAAAGGTTTTAGAAGAATCCTCTCATTCAATGCTTTCAACAACCCATGAGATGTGAGTAGTACTATTAACCTAGTTTACTAGTAAGGAAGGTCAAGGTTAGAGAGGTTAAATATCTTGTCTGAGATTCCACAATTACTAAGGGGTGGCACAAGGATTGAACTTATGCTTTTAGACCTGAAAGTACAGACAATGAACGAGGACACTGTATGGCAGAGAAAACTTTAACTGGACCCAAAATGTCGTCTTTCTTAGTTCTTAAGCGTACAAATTTAATGACATGAATTCCAACCAGGATACAGTCCAAGCTGTAATTTCTCCCGTGACAAAACTTTATTTTCACAGCTTCAATTATGCAAACACAGAAGAGTTTATGCTGGTATTTCTATGGTTGCTTTTATAATGCGATCATTCTAATGTTAAAATTTTTCACATTGCTTAAAAGGTGTTTGGCAATCCTGTATTGTGAAAAGTGAAAATGAAATTATCACAAGGATAATCTCTTTTTAACATACACCAATTTATCTTTGGTTTCAGAATCAACAGATTATTTTATCCCATGGTCCGTATCAGTAAATCTACTTTAAATATTTAGCATTCATCATTTCTCAGCCTTTGGCTAAGATCAAGTGTAAATATTCTGCCATTATGAGTAGAAAAATTATGTTTACCAAAAAAATGGCGAGTGAGCCCTAGACGGATTGGCTCAGTGGATAGAGCATCAGCCTTCGGACTGAAGGGTCCCAGGTTTGATTCTGGTGGGCACATACCCGGGTTTCGGACTTGACTCCCAGTGGGGGGCGTGCAGGATGCAGCCATCAATGATTCTCTCTCATCATTGAAGTTTCTCTCTCTCTCTCTCTCCCTCTCTCCCCTTCTCCCTTCCTCTCTGAAATCAATAAAAATATATTTAAAAAAAAAAAGTGGCTAGTGAATGGGTAACAAATACTGGCATTGGAGAAAACCGGGTTTTCAATGTAACCTTATACAATGTGACGACGTGACATTACTCATGAGCTGACTCACCACAGCTTGTTCAAACAGTTCTCTCAGCTTCTGTTCAGATTCTCCAGATACTCCAGACACAATCTCTGTAGCAGCTACTTTGAGAATTGGAAGGTCAAGTTCCTGTGCACAGATGTATAAAAGAATGATCAAATTTTTGAATTTTCACTTCCCTACTTTGTCCGTAGTCAGTCCCTCTCTCATAATGACATTTTAAAATGACGAATTTTCCTGAAAAATATCTTTTTGTGTTGGTCCGATAGAAAACTTTAAAATCTATGATTTTATTCAAACACAATGATAAGATAACTTGTTTTTACTTTACCAACGTCACTATAAAACTCTGTTATCATCTCCTCTGAATAAAGGGTCTGGAATATCAAGAGAGATATTTTCCCCCACTTAGAACTGAACCAAAACAAATTTATCTTTTGAAGAGGAAACAGCAGGGGTGGTGACACAGTTGTCCCTCACACTCTACTAGCATTGCTCTCTCCTGAGTCCAGACGAGGAGCCAGTTACTAGTCAGAGGGGGCAGGCTCTTTAAACAGAGGAAGGAAACTACCACTTCCCACCCGACAGATGGTGGCAAGCCTGCCTAAATCCTACTCATTCACCTGGAAATTCCATTCCGCAATCACATTTTCTTTGCTCCAAACTCTTAACTTGGGTTTCAATAATCATATGGCATTCTGCACTTTTTGTGTCTCTCATTTATTACCATTGTAACTATGTAGACGCTTATTTGCATGAATGACTATGTAATGTCTGTCTCCCATATTAGACTGAAAAATTCCTTCAAGATAAAAGCTGGGTTTGTTGTACTTATCACTATATTTCAATGTCTGGCACATAGCAGTCACATAATTGATTTACCCAACAAATGAATAAATGAAGCAAATCCATCAAATTCTCCTATATAAAGTCTCATAGAGCACTAATCTATTAGTGATCAGTATAGCACCCTGTGCTTAAAATTGAAGGACTCATTTTGTATTTTACCATCTAATACAGTTTCTGAAAAATCTGATGGGACTAAAATAAGATTGCTAACTTTTCATTTTGCCAAGTATCTATTTTAGAAAAAATAGTATAAGACCGTTACTCTGAATAAATTTAGTTCTATAAAATACAATACATCCTTAGTTTTATTTCACTGCTCTTTAGAGCCACTGGCTTAAAGAGAAAGAGAAGTAATAAAATGTAAAATGTAAATGTGTTAAAAAAAGAGGGGGTGTTGTTCACAGCTATATAATTTTGCTTCCCACCTAATCCTTGCCATATAAATAGCCAGATATAAAAAATAGTATGGGGGGGGGGGCGGAGCAGGTGTGAGGGGGAGGGCCTCAAAGGGGTTAATGGGGGGGAATGAGACATAATACTTTCAACAATAAAGATTTTTAAAGAAATAGCATCTCACAAACAACAGCATGAAAGAGGTAAAAAAAATGAGGAATCAGTCCTCTTGAGAACATGCCAAGTCTGGTTCAAGTTAACCAAAGAGTAAAAACAAACAACAACAAAAATAACAAAAGCCACCAAGTGTCAGCAAACCTCACCCCAGCAATTGCATGTGCAAGTAACGTCTTCCCGCAGCCTGGCGGTCCGTGAAGGAGAACTCCACGGGGGGGTGTGACGCCCAGGTGCTGGTACACCTCCGGGTGACGCATGTGTATGAGCATCTTGCAGACTTCCTAGCAGGGAGGAAACAGCAGAGATGTCTTCCCCAGGCCAAGGGAGAAAGAATCAACACGGAATGAAACGTCCTATTCTTTGGAGCAGCAACATATAGGAGGGAGAGTATATGCTTTGGATTTAGACCCGAGCTTGACTTCCAGCTCTGGTACCTATTGCATGACTTCAGCAATAACATCGCTGAGCTTCCACTTCCTGATGTCTACCTTGCAGATGTATTGAAAAATAACTAGCAGGGTCACTGGACTAGAGCAGACACTAAAACATGAGCAGGAACCATTATTATTACCACTTTTAAATAACAGCACTTACAAAGCATGTGGCTTATGGACAATACGATTAAAGTGGTGACGAAGTTGAAGCTATTATGGTGCTTCTTTGTTATCCCTCAATACCCTGCAGGGTACAAGTTAGGTTTGCTCTTCTCCCCTTCCCAGTCTCCTTTCCTACACCCAGTTCCTTTTAGGAACAAAGAAGTGGACTTGATTTGCATAACTGATTAGCAATACCCACTGGAAGTAAAATTCTGAATCTGAATAACCTTTAGTGTTACGTCATTGCCTCCCACATCTTCAAACTTCACGCTGGAGGTCTGGAAGTCTAGGCCCCTGGCTTGAGCTGGTAAATGAAAAGGGAGGAAGTGAAAAGATTAGTGATTCAGCAGTAACTCAGAATTATATTTAATACTTGTTAAGTAAACAAAGATCCATTAGCTATCGACACATTTCCTAATAAATGTCTCTGCACCTGGAAGATCCCCCAAGCAAATCAGCCTGGAAGAGTGATGCCTTCCTCAAAGCAAACACGGCCACCACCACCCACCAAGACCTGCGTCGCACCTTTCTTTTGCAGGACGGCTTCTATTTCTCCATCTACTTCCTGAAGATCTTCTTTCTTCCTTTTGCTTCCTCTGCTCTTTAACCTGCCTTTCCTTTTCTTGTTACTCTCCAGAAGAGACGACCCTTTGGAATCCTGGATAATTAAAGCAAAGAGATTTGGAAAAGATCCATTACTAATTCAAAAGGAGCAAGATTTTGGCAAACCAAAAGGCTTGGTTCTTAGAAACCACTTAGAAATGCCCTGTCCTAGAGAAATACAATGCAGGCCACATAGGTAAATTTATATATTCTAGAGCCCCATTTAAAAAAGCAAAGAAGCTGAAATTAATTTAATAATCTATCTTATTTAATCAAATATATTCAAGGCATTACCATTTCCATATAGCGTCAGTGTGAAAAATTAACAAGGTGTTTTGTATATATTGTTTTTGTAGTAAATTTGCAAAGACCAATGTGGACTTTATGCTTATAGCAAGCACATCTCAAGTCAGGCACTAAATTTTCATCATTGATTGGCTGCCTCGTGCACGCCCCCTACTGGGGATCGCGCCTGCAACCTGGGCATGTGCCCTTGACCAGAATCTAACATGGGACCTTTCAGTCCGCAGGCCAATGCTCTATCCACTGAGCCAAACCAGCTAGGGCATTTGCGTCCACTCCTGTTCCCCTAGTTCAGTGGTCAGCAAACTGCGGCTCGGCAAACCGTGGCTCGTGAGCCACATGCGACTCTTTGGCCCCTTGAGTGTGGCTCTTCCACAAAATACCACGTGCGCACACGCAGTGCAATTGAAACTTCGTGGCCCATGCGCAGAAGTCGATATTTTGTGGAAGAGCCACACTGAAGGGGCCAAAGAGCCGCGGTTTGCCAACCACGGCCCTAGTTTATTCTTCACACAGAGATATCTTCCTTATGGGTTAAGTCATTGTCAATATTATATTCAAAATCCTCCAGTGGCTTCGTTAGTCTGAAGTCAAAGCTCTTGCAGCTGCCAGCAAAGCCCTGTGTGATTTGGCTGCCCTGCTGCCCTAGTCTCATCCACTTTGCTTTGCTTTGGCACAGTGGCTTTGCTTTGGCACAGTGGCTGCTCGCTGTTTCTAGAACACACCAAGCACCCTCTCTCTTGAGGCATTTGGAGAGTGTCCAGACAGAGAGAACAAGAGTGGATGCAAACGCCCTAGCTGGTTTGGCTCAGTGGATAGAGCATTGGCCTGTGGACTGAAAGGTCCCATGTTCGATTCTGGTCCAGGGCACATGCCTGGGTTGCAGGCACGATCCCCAGTAGGGGGCATGCAGGAGGCAGCCAATCCATCATGATTCTCTCTTATCCTTGATATTTCTAGCTCTCTCTCCGTTCCTTTCTGATATCAAAAAAAAAAAAAAAGGAGGGGATGCAAACTCCAGTTGGAAGGTCATTTCAATAGTTACGACAAGAAAGAGTAGATAGAGGTGTGGTCTAGAATGGAAATGATGGCAGCAGTAGGAAGTGATGAAATGTCACACTTATTTCAAAGTTCCTATGTCTTTTATTTAACACAGAATCTGCTTAATATCATCCTTAATGAAAAGACGGCAATGTGCTCTAGCTATGTGGGGCTAAAATTTCAGTATAAAAATACCTCTATCTCAGATAATGGCTTCTTATTACTTGTCTCCTCTGATAGGTCCAAGAAAAAACTGTCTTTCTTTCCACCTGGAGTTTTGTCAATGAACCATCCTCCTTCAGAGCCTCTGGCAGGGGTCTTCAACGGAATGGAGCCAGTTTTGGAAGCTGTTGGTGGTGCTGAACCGCTGGTTTCTCTTTGCTCCCTCTCGGGAGTAGTGGCAACAGAATCAGGGTTTCCTTTCCGATATAAGGAGAGCAGGGAAGAGTTCATGTGATTTGCCAACTGGGAGAAACATGATTTTAGTATAAGTTACTCAAAAGTACTCATGAAGGTTTGATGGCCTGTTTAACACGTTCTCTACTTTGTGCTTCCAACAACTTCTCTCATAACATTTATAGTCAGAAAAATAGGTGTTTGCAAGGAGATGATTCCAACACAAATATTTATTATCCAAAAAGGTGTGTCCCCCTGCCACTCCAAGTTAATGTACCAATTCATAATTGGCAGTTAAGTAAAACTAAATAAGAATTTTAAAAAATATAAAAAGCAAATATGAAAATGAGCTGGTAGGCAGTCAATGAGTCACCACTATCGCATCAATTAAAAACTAGATCACATATATCTGAGTATCATCATGGTTATTAATAAATTTAAATATTGAATTATCAATGGGGAAAAATAAAGTTACAAATAATTTTACATATTATTCCCATGCTCTTTAATCCAAGTCTATTTATTGGTAATGCAAACTCTGGCAGAAAATGTATCCTTTTCTTCATTTTTACCATGAATTCCCCTTTTTGTGCATGTCTGCCCTTTATATGGCCTTTCTCTTCCCTTCTTTTTCCATTTTTATAATAGGCTATAAAAACAAACATGGGCACGATGGTTAACCCCAGAGTTCACTAACCCTGTACACAGGAAGCATTCAATTGTTCACAGATGAAGATGTTCAAAGTCTCTCATTGTATTCCTCACTGATTTTTCTCTAAGGAGGTTGAACATGATTTTTAAAAGACTCAAAGTCCATTAAATGTTTGGCTTACCTGTGGATCTGGGTAATCTTCCATATTTGAATCGTCATCCGAATAGCTTTCAGTATACCTGAGTGAAAAGAGGGGAAAAAATTGTAAAGGCTTTTCTCTTACATCCTAAAAATATTACTAACTAAAACAAGAAAATGCACTGAGGGGGAATATTACTGTGGTGGTTCAGAGCACATGCTTTGGGATCAGAGAAATCTGTACTCAAAATCCAGGTTTACCAGTTACTTTCTAGCTTCTATTTAATCTCTCTGAGCCTCAGCTTCCTTATCTACAAAATGGACATCTCACTGGATTATTAGATTAAAAGAAACCTTGCAAATCAAAAGAAGAAAAAAAAAAGAGAAGGGGGAAAAAAAAAGAAAGCTTGCAAAGTCCTTAATACCTAGTAAATGCTTAATAAACTGTGGCTTCCATTAGCTGAGCAATAAATAAAAGTGCAATGTGAATTCCCACTAGATCCCAGGGTCTCATTTAGGAATGTCCGATGCCAGGAGAGGGAATACTCCGTAAGCCACGTAACCAGATGGAACGTTTACACGTCTGCTTGGAAGAATGAAGATACACAGTTGTTCAACATCATATGATAAAAAAACAATATAAATCCTAATAATTACAAACTGAGAATTTAGTCTCAGTTCTTTATAATCAAGAGTTGGTATCTAATAACTACAGGACTCTATTATTTATTATTGTTTCTATAGAAATAATTAAATAAGAAAAGGGCTTTCCAAGTAAAAAGGTTTACATGAATGCTATGACCCATCTTTATAATTAAGACATGAATTTCTTTGCTATTCGTTAAATTCAACTAAGGTAATTTGGTGCGTTTCTTTTCAATATAAAGTAAGTAGATTACTCAACTATTTGGGAAAATATCATTTTGCCCTAGAATTCATGCCATACAGGTATAATTAATTACAAGTGGATTAAGTAGTTAAATGTAATACCATAAAGGAACAAGAAAAAAGTACAGGTAATTATTCTATATGCTCCTGTGACAGAGGTCTATGTAAGCATTCAGAGCATAAACCACCCAGGAAAAGGTTGGTAGCTTTGACTAGGTTAAGATGCAGAACTTCTCTAATCAAAACATTATAAACAAAAACAAAAGGCAAATGGGAAAATGAGACAAGCATTTGCAATACATGTGAAAAGAGGTGCTATTTTATACAAAGAACTCTGACAACTAATAAGGAAAATTCAAATACTTCTCAAATGAAAGACAAAATCCATAGGTAAGAAATTCACAAAGAAATATGAAACAGTAAAAAAAAATCACTAGTTATTAAAAGATTACAAATAAAAACAATATGATCAATGTTTGCCTATAATACTAGCAAAGATTAAGTAATTGTATAACTAGGATTACAAGGGGGCAGAGAAATGCATTCTTCACACAAAGCTGTTGGAGTATAAACTAAGGCAACCTTTCTTGAAGGGCAGCTTCAAATGCACTAAAAAATACATGCTTGAAAATATAAATCTCTGTCTCCAGAAATACCACTTCAGGATTTTAACATATAAAAATAAACAAATGACCCTAGCCAGTTTGGCTCAGTGGATAGAGCGTTGGCCTGCAGATTGAAGGGTCCCAGGTTCGATTCTGGTCAAGGGCACATGACCAGGTTGCGGGCTTGATCCCTAGTAGGGGGCGTGCAGGAGGCAGCCAATCAATGATTCTCTCTCATCATTGATGTTTCTATCTCTCTCTCCCTCTTCTTTCCTCTCTGAAATCAATAAAAATAAATAAAAAATAGAAAACAGTCTAGGAAGGCCTGACAAAGACAATAACACAGCATTCTGAAAGCTGACTCTCAAATGCTGAGTGGGAGCTTGTGAAAGAGAAAGGAACATTCCAGCTACAGAAAACTGCAGTTAAGGACTGGAGAGGTTAGGCAAGTGTTACACAGCGCCTCCTGGGCAACGAGGAGCCACTGAAAGTTTTACGCGTAGAAATATAATGTGATCAGATTCATGTGCTAGATAGAAAAAACCCTCCACTCCGAAATCCTTACTCATTATCCTCTTCACCTTGTCTTGCTCTTTTTGCCAGATGTTCATCTTCTAATTCTGTTAGATTCTTAAGTTCCTTCTCACTATTAATTATGCTAAATACTGAAACAAAAAGAAAAAAGCCATGAGCTAAAACCATTCTGTAATGTTATTAATGATTCATTTCTAACGCTAATAGACTCACCTTTTTCTACCTGAATCCTAAAAGCATTTCTTTTTCTTCGACCGTAGTCTATGCTGAAAAAGAAAACAGAAGTTTAGTACAGTGGTCTCCCCCACATAAGTTTGCAGTGGCAATAATTATGCCACTGAATTTACAGACCATAAATCTATTTTCAAACAACTTTGGAGTTTACACATTTACAACTATAATTTCTCTTGATATTCTACAGAACAGGCCAAAAGAGCTAAGCAACTGGGAACATGCATTCTCCTTTAAAAAAATAAAAAAAAGGAAAGAGTGACTCCCCAGGAGGCTCAGAGGTTGGCAGAGCTGCCACTGTCACCAGGGACCCAGTGAGCACAGACGGGCCCACAGGACAGGGCCCTGAGCCACAAGATTAAAGTCTAGCGGAATTCACCCAGCTACCATAACCCCATAACCCCTTTCTTCTAATTTCTCCGTTTTGGAATGAAAAGGCATATCCTATACCTGTCCACTACTGTATTGTCTTGTTTAAAATGTGTTTTTATTGATTTTTGAAAGAGGAAGGGAGAGGGAGAAAGAATTATCAATGAGCGAGAACCATCAATTGGCTGCCTCCTGCATGCTCCCTACAGGGGATTGAGCCTGCAACTCAGGAATGTACCCTGCCGGGGAATCGAACCAGAGACCTCTAGGTGCATGGGAAGATGCTCAACCGAGCCATGCCAGCGAAGGTCACCATTGTATTTTGTTAGCAGATAACCTGTCTGCTTTTCCAGGTTCACAGCTAGAGAGGAATTCGGCCTCAGAATGAATCATAGCTCCAGTCACACCATATCCGAGTTAGATGAGATTTAGATGTGATTTGGGAGCTGGAATTGAGACTGAAATGGATTACGACTTCTGGGGTTGCTGCTCTTTTACTTGTAAGCGAGAAGGATTAAATTTGGGGAGGCGAGAGGTAGAGTGTTATGAATTGAACTGTGTCCCTCCAAAATTCATATGATGAAGTTCCAACCCTGAGTACCTCAGAATGTGACTGTATTTGGAAACAGGACCTTTAAAGATGTAAGTCACGTAATATGGATGGGACTTAATCCCATAGGACTGGTGTCTGTAAGAGGAGGAGATTAGGATACAGACACTTATACACAGAGGAAGGACCATGTGACGACATAGGAGAACACAGGCAACTGCAAACCAAAACTCCCCTCTGTAGCCGTCTGGGCTGAGTGACACATTTCTGAGAGTCAGGAAGCTGAGGGAGATCATGCCTGATGGTTTAATTTTTTTAATGAAGCAGGAAAAGAAGTAATGTTCCTGACCAGACTATAAGGTACTGAAAGATAAGATGCAGCCATTACCCCTAGTAACAAAGATAGCTCTTTGCCTATAACAGGTGATCGATAAATGTTTGTGTAACTTACTTGAATTCTGAACTTAGGGACTGGAGAACTAATGTTAGCAGTTATTAATATCAATTGGAAATTTAGGCAGGATGGAAAGTTTAAAAATGATAGGAAAGAAACAACAATGGAAAAAAATGGAAGGGAAGAAAAGCAAGAACCTGCAGACTCTATTTCTTTACCTGTACATTCTTTGTAGATCAGATGCCATGATTCCAGTGTCCACATATTTGCCACATCTGCTACTGGTGAGGTACTAAAACAGAAAATATGATAAATATAAACACTCAATATTTCAAACTCAGAGATTTTATTTATTTTTTAAATATATTTTATTGATTTTTTACAGAGAGGAAGGGAGGGGGGATAGAGAATTAAAAACACTGATGAGAGAGAAACATCGATCAGCTGCCTCCTGCACACCTCCTACTGGGGATGTGCCCGCAACCAAGGTATATGCCCTTGACCAGAATTGAACCTGGGACCTTTCAGTCCGCAAGTCGACACTCTATCTACTGAGCCAAACCAGTTAGGCTCAAACTCAGAGATTTTAATTGACAAATAAGAGACTGGGCTACTCAACATGTCATATTCCAATGTAAACTCTTCATTAATAAAGCATACCGGAAACATAAATAAAAATCACCAAATGATTGTCACATCTGAAATCAGAGAATTTAATTAAAATTATCAATCATGCTCTCTCATCATGGATGTTTCTATCTCTCTCTCCTTCTCCCTCTCTCCCTTCCGCTCTGAAATCAATAAAAATATATTTAAAAAAAATAAATAAATAAAAGGCTAATTAGTTAGTTGCTCAGAAGCACGTAAGTTTTAGGACCAGATTTCAAACCTGGCATGTCTAAGTCAACTTCCATGTTTCAGTTCTTGTTAGTTATCCAGTCCAGGTCCCCATTTGATAGAGCAAGACTCTCCTTCTTAAGAATCCTAACACATGATAACACTCTCTGCATAAATGCTTCCGATGACAAGAGTCTAGGTAGCAAAGGCTGGACTGTTCTAGTTAACCTTCCCCTTCACTGGATTCCTATACTATGCTGTCATATATTATAGTCCATTTTGAATTACATATATTTGTACATATCTCATACCCACTGCAATTTGAAAAAGCTCCTTGACAGCAACAGAAATAAACCCATTTTAATCTGCTAAACTTGGGGGTAAATTGTAAGCAGCAGTAGATAGAATATGCTAGTTAAAAGGAGGCAACGGTACTATTTGTGGGAAAATGTCTAAAGTATACCACTAAGTGCCCTAGCCAGTTTGGCTCAGTGGATAGAGTGTCGGCCTGCAGACTGAAGGGTCCTGGGTTCAATTCCGGTCAAGGGCACATGCCTGGATTGTGCTCGATCTCCAATGGGAGGCGTGCAGGAGGCAGCTTGGTCAATGATTCTCTCTCTTCATTGATGTTTCTCTCTCCTTCTCCCTTCCTCTCTGAAATCAATAAAATAAAATAAAGTATACCGCTAAGTGAAAAAAGCAGAATTGATGCAAATAAGCCAGTGTGATAAAAAAAATGAACACATACATATGCAAGCATGTAAATGCATACAAAGTTTTAAGATGCAAGAGAGAGACCTCTGGAGAAGTGGAGTGGAGGTGAGAGGAATTCGCTCTTTTCATTTTATGCCCTCTGTTCCTTTTATGTTAAACCATAAGAACCTATTGCTTTTATAATGAACCAAAGTAAAAGCAATAGTGGAAACGTCTAATGTCAAATGCTGAACGACAATCAAGGTTGGTAAAGACTGAGAAGAGGCCAATTGGAGTCCCTGACCAGAGACCTGAGGAAGGGGAAGAAGCAAGTGGTAGGAACAGCCAGCCGAGTAATTCAGAGTGAGTGAACTGCAAAGAGCGAAAGTCCTGGGCTTCCCATGTGTGAGAAGGTCCATGTGCTCAGGCCAGCGCAAGCCAAGGTGAGAGGAGAAGCAAAAAGCAAAAAGACAAAACAGGGGTCAAGGGGCCAAAACACGGGCTTTTTTTTTTTTTTTTTTTTTTTTTTGGGGGGTTTTTTACTCCAGATGTCTGACAAGTCAACTGAAGGGTTTGGGGCAGGGCATTCTCACATAAGATGTTTCTACTCTGTCTCTCCCTCTCCTGAGGATATGGAAAAATATCCTTGGCCGAGGATTAACCAAAATAAATAAATAAATCCATAGTAAAGTGAAAAGATATATACATTTAAAACAAAAACAAACAAACAAAAAAAAAAGGTAAACAGAGAAACAAGAAAAGTAGCTGCCAAAGCATAATGTAAAGAAAAATTTCTCCCTTCTTCTAAACAAGATTGCTTCCTGCCCTAACCGGTCTGGCTCAGTGGATAGAGCGTCGGCCTGCGGACTGAAGGGTCCCAGGTTCGATTCCGGTCAAGGGCATGCACCTTGGTTGCGGGCTCATCCCCAATGGGGGGTGTGCAGGAGGCAGCTGATCGATGTTTCTCTCTCATCCATGTTTCTAACTCTCTATTCCTCTCCCTCTGTAAAAAATCAAGAAAATATATATATATTTTTTAAAAAGATTGCTTCCTGACTGTACCATTCATTCCAAGACATTTAGCACACACTGCTTTCTACGAATGATTATGAAAAACAAAACCCTTAGGTAAAGTGCGTATTGTAAAGTCCCATCCATACTACCTATTTCTACTGTATCCCAACCTGACCCCAAGTTTCCTGAGATGGAAATGCTTTACGGCCCCCAAAGCGCCTCGTACAGTGGGGAGGGTCCTAGCTTCACGACAGGAAGATTTTAACTCCAAGGCCATCTCCGCTCTCCTTCCTGATCCGCGCT